AACTTTCGAACAAAGAAAAAAATCCGTGTGAGAAAATAGTCAAGGAATGATGGGGCTTGTCGCGAATTCACGATAGCACAGTTAGGCGGGCGCACAGCACCTGTGCCACGTGACGCGCTTCTATTGCAGGAAACAGTTGTATTGGTGGGCTACCTGGTGACGGCAGCAAAACTGGAAGCATGTGTCGGATTAGCGCGGGGCACGTGTCGACCGTTAAAAAGGCCTCTAAGTCTGAATCTGACCTCGCAACATTCAACGCTCACTCGGGTGCTAACTCCGTCACGTAGCTTTATTAGGTTTTACTTCGACGGAGTAGGATTCTTTCTTCTTTTCTTTCCATTTTTTTTTCTCACATTCTTTTATTTTAGAAATGCGTTATTCACATACTTCTTTTTACTTCTCTCATATATTTTGTTAATTTCTGTGATTTGATCTTTTTTAATTTATCCGATCCGACAGTCGAAAATTAAAATGATGTGAGAGAAGTAAAAAAAGGTGTGTGGATATTACGATCTTATTTTATTTTTCTCTTGTTATAAAAAATTAATATAAAAAATTAATATGATTTAACAATAACCGTTTAAATAAAAGTGGAAGGAAAGAGAGGAAAAAAAATAGAAAAAAGAATCATACTCCTATATTGACACAAATACCCCTATTGTTCCTCAAGCTTTTATGAAGAGAAAACCACCATCTCATACACGATGCACAAAATTGGAAAATAGTATCCAGGTGGCATGACACAATGCCCTAGAAATATGGGTTCACTGTCACAAGGTTCAATTATCAAAAATATCTCGACTCATAAAGTTCAAGTTTTAACTTTCTCCTTTTAAATTATTATAATAGTTTAAAACTTACTATGTCTTTTAATAATAATGACTTAAATATATATATGTATACATAAGAAGCCTTTAAAAAAAGGAGTTTTTATTTATTTTTTAATAAAAATGCGATTAGTTGTAGATTCCACTACACATCGAATTTAACGATTTGAACCGTCTTCAAGTTGCATCTCAGAGGTCATCTTTACAAAATATTATTCAAATCGAAAATATTTGAGATATCTAGTTGAGTTCAAAGAAATTAACGAACACTTTATTTTCTAGAAAACATTGAAATTTCATCGTGATAATTAAATAGGCAAATGATTTCGTATTGAATTAATTTTTGCAAGGATAATCTTTGAATCAAGACTGACAAAATAGACGATTCGTATCATTAAAATTCGATGTAGAGAAAATCCCACAACTAATCCTCGTTTTTTTATGAAAATGGGATCCCTTCCCTTTAAGGATACACACACATATTTGATCTAAAAAAATGAATTAACTATCATAAATATTTGACAAAAGAAAACATGAAAATATAGAAATCTTTCCCTTGATACACACTGCGGATAAGAAGAGATGCTAAGGTTCCATTTTTTTCATTTAATATCATTCGAATTGGGTATAAGACTATTCTCTCTATATGCTTCTTGCAACTCAATTGTACAAAAATTTAAAAGATAATTATAATAATTAGGGGTTGGCTGGAAAAAGCTACATTTGACTCTATATTTAAAAGAGAAATGAAAAGGAGAATCTCACAAAAGTGGGACTCTTTGTCACCCCATATTTTTTGCACAATGTTTTATAATGTTAGCTCAGGAATTAACGTTAAATAATAAGGTAACATAGAATCTATAGAGAGTCCCACCTTGAGATAGACTCCTTAGCATTTCTCTATTATCTCCCATAGATTATTAACTATTATCTACGCTTATTACACCTCAATTTTTGAGGCTAGATGTATGTCTTTAAAGAATTATATTTCTTTTTCTTTAATAATAGTAATTTAATTTTTCTTATTCTTTAATGAATTATATTTCTTACAGCTCAAATACTTATGATATGTATATATAAAATGGTTAGCCATATGAATGAAAATAATCCAATCCAATATTCCTACATTTGGATAATGAGTAATATATAAATTATATATGTTATGACACTTAACTCGGAAGTATAAGTTAATATAACATTTTGATGATGAAAGGGTAGCCTGAGAACATATTGTTGAGTATATGGGACCCTTGATTCTATTGGGTGAATTTTGGGGTCACGTTTGACTCTTTTGGAACATAAATATTTGTATGCACCGTCCTATTTATTATCATTAGATGAATTTAAATTTTAAAATTTAAGCTCATCAAACAGTAATAAATAGAATGATACGTGAGCAAAAATACACGTCTTTGAAATTGGAGGTTTATGAATTTGTTGTCAAGAAAAATTATTCTGCAGAAAACACAAATGGCAATAGCTTTCATATATAAAATCTAATATTACTGATGCGAATTAAACATGTCGTGAAGGACTCAAATACATTCGTGGTTGGAGATTGATCATGCATGTGTCAAAAAATAAAACCCCACATGTTATAAAAATATTACTTAATAAATGATAAGGTAAATATTCTTAGATCAATTCAACAGCTTGATAACGGACTGCATGCATCATAATTCTTATGGAAAAGGGCCAGAAGACACAGTTGGATTTACAAATTGATCCAATACCAACGAATCTCTGTAGTTGACAGACTATGAAAATGAAAGACAATAAATATATATTAGACCTCGTTTTCCTTCAAATTTGTATAATAAGATTTTGTTGCCAGAGAATATATTTGTGACAAGACTTTTCTGGATTTTTTAGAAGTCTTCTCCTTAGATGTGAACTTGATGAATTTAGACAGCTGTTTTATTTTCCAACGGGCTACAGGTAATAGTTTTTCCAATGTCCACTCCATTTTCCAGGATTTGGATCCCATCCAAATTTAAATGGTAGAGATTTTATGGATTCTCACATCTTAATCATTCATCATACATCGTGAGGTAAAAGTTTATTTAACTTTTTAAATTAAAATTAAACACAAATAGTACCTGACAAAAATTAACCGTATGATGTACAATGAACGGCTAGAGATCCCCATAAAGTAGATCTGGAGAGAATCCTCTTCCCATTTTCCACTAGACTTCCATGATTCTCCACAGTGACTAAATTGTTCATCACCTCTAATGTGGGATTGAGCTACCATTACATTACCAACATTCGATGAATTTATATTTCAAGGCGTGGTAAATTGAATCTGATTCATCCAACGATACATGTATAGGGTTCGTCTGGAGGCGCTTTTAAAATAAATGAGTGCGTTTTTAAAGAAATATGTGTGGTTTTCAAAGCTCTTGAAGAACTTCCTACAAGAAGTACCGCTCATATGCTTCTTGCGAGAAACACTTTAAGTATTATTCCAAGACTCACTTGCATTGTTAACTAAGAATTGATTTCAAATATATTTTCACTAAAAACAAGTTCAATTATTTTAAAAACACTTCCAAATGAGCTTATAGTTGATGACTTAGTGGTAACCCGCAACACTCACCATTAATTAGGGGCAGTGAGCAAGTTTGTTCTCTTGCAATATATGTCAACTCAATATTTCCATATTTCCTGCGGTTTGGTTCAATCTCTTGAGCAAGGAAGTAAGAAATTTCATTAGTCAAATAGTAATGGAAATAATAATTCTACTAAACCATAGTTGTTTATCAACAATCATTTGGTTGAGCGAGTAATTATTTTTTTTTGCTTGTTGAGGAAATGTTAAGTTTGGTTTACATATACGCTTTGAAGATACTTACTTGCGATGAATTATACTCTCAGTTATTGCGTTTTGAGGCTATCAACTATTTAGCAAAAACCGACTCATTAAGAGGACTAGTTTCTCTATCAAACATTTTGACATAACTACCTAATCTTAAGGGGTACCTTTAAATTGGTCCCAACCTAAATTAGGTTTACTTAAGTAGGGAAAATACTTAATCTTATGGGGTATTTTTAAAGTGGCCCAACTTTTTAAAATATTTCAAATAACTACTTAACGTTTTGAAAATTAGACATCCTACAGATCACCAACATTAAGTGATGGCATGTTCAAGTATTAAAGCGATTTTCATTCTCACGTAATCTATAGAGCTCTAAATTTCTAAACCGATTCCTTTTAACTAGACACATTTGATGTTTTTCTTCGCTAAGAGGGGTCTATTTCAGGATTAAAAACTCCAAAAATGATGAGTTAGTGAAAATCAACTTCAATGTTTTTTCAAGTCATCACTTAACCTTAAGGACATTATCAATTACCGTAGGTGGCCTATGTAGTTATTTGTTTTAAAAAGTTGAAACCAATTTGGAATCACCTCTAAAAATTGGGTAGTTATTCATACAGTTCTTAACCCTTCATCCTTTGATGTCACATTATCAACCTAAATTACTGATTAGAGGATTTTTTTTGTTTAAAAAATGTGTGTTTCAAATTAGCAGTTCAACAATAATTTATGTATAAACATCCTGCTCCAGTCAATTGTTAGGTGGAAAGTTAAGAAATTTCGGGTTCTTCTACACATAGTGAGTCAGGACGAAAGACGTAGTCAATAGACAAGAGGTAAATATTTCTATACTACCCTTTGTTAATCCCGAAAATTAGAGGATTAGGATTTTTTTTTGGCATTGTCAGCATCACAAAATATATGAATACAAATTTCATAGCATGCAAGTCAAAGTTAATTAGCGAAAAAAGGTTACAATTTATAAAATGACTAACTACATTTTCATTTTACCAATACCAAGGTTGTGTTTGAGTGTGACATGCACGTTTGAGTGTGACATGCACGTGTGCGTGATAGAGGGAAGGAGATAGGTTGAAAGAAAGTGGGAATGTCAACAGCATACTGACCTGAGTTCCCACCAATAAACTGATAAAGTAACATAGAATACTAAAACTCATTAGGGATAACTCGAACTAGCAAAGTTATCTGTATTCGAGTTCAAATCTTTCTTTCGTAGTTTAAATTAGATTTATAAAATCACTTGCTCGTTTGAGTGATGCAAGCATTCGTTAAAATCCAGAAAACTTTAAGAAAGAGTACAAACTTTTGATGAGTAAAATATGCAAACAACATCATTACCACCAACTGATTCTCGTTCTCATATGTCGCCAATATTGTAAGAAATAAATAGAAAAACACCAATACATCATATAATTTCTTACATTACATTAACATTTGCTTCACTTTCATTCAATTTTCAATTTAGGTTCAGAATATCTATAAATTATCTACTCACACCAGGAATATTAGCTGAAGCTGTTTTTTCCTTTTTTTTTTATATAACAAAACTATATATTAATCTTATTTTGCTGCTTTGAAATTATTAATAATTCCAAAAATTATCCAGGCCTGCTGCTGCAGCTGGAGGATCTTGATCACCATATGGCCTTGTTGCCATTTCAAGATTGGACATGACTGAAGAGATTTCAGCGTTCATATCGCTTGTGAGGCCGGTTTCTTGGGACACACTCACTAGTTCCCTCTCTGTTTTGTAGCTCTGCTGCCTCATGTTTGCAGCATTGTTTTCTAACAAGGCCCTCAGGATGGACTGATCTTGCAGTATATCCGAACCGGGGAATTTGAAACTTGTCGAAGGGGGAGCATTATGAGCAGAGTAGAATGAATTGGGAAATGGGATTCTTGGGAAAAAGTTGGAAGAGTTTGAAGAAACACCAAAGAGAGGATTGTTGTTCATGTAATCAGCAATATTCCCTTGGTTTCTTTGAACATCAGTGGGATCAGGGTTGGAGAAGCAGGGCACGTAATGGGACTCAGAAGCAGGTTTGGCCTTGGGAGCGCTGTAGGGCGAAGAATCCATCAATGGTGGTAGGCCAGAAGAACCAATTTCATTTCCGAGAGAAGCCAAAGTCACAAATCCAGAAATATGGGTTTTCTTGCCACCAGAATTCTTTTCAAAAACTCTGCAAATCACCCATTCATTCTGCAGAGTGCAACACAAAAAAGGCACAAATAAAACTAGCATCAAAATACATGAACAAATAAAAAGGTCGTACCCAGTGCACAAGGCTCCCGCTTTACGCAGGGTCTGGGAGAGGTGAATGTCGGCTAGCCTTACCCCCATTTTATGGAGAGGCTGCTCCCAAGAAAATACATGAACAAATAAACATAGTAAAAACACAAGAAACTTACTGCAACGGAGATGCTACTGTGGAGGTATCTCAATCCAATCAAGAACAGCCATGTGCTTTAATTTCTTGTATAGCAGTGTATGTTCAGCCTGAGATACCGTCACAGTAACATCCCCGTTGCAAGAAATTCCATATCCAAAAACAAGAAAACAGGGGAAGAGCCATACCTTTGCAGTTTTGGGGAGGTTGTGAACAGAGAATTTACCATCCAATCTATATTCATGCATAACCCAGTTACTTTTTTCTCCTTTCGGGGCTCTTCCTTTGTAGAAAACCAAGGTTTTCTTCATCCCAACCAGAGATTTTGTACTGTAGATCTCCTTATCTTTCCCTGTGGCCTTCCAGTATCCGGCTTCGGTCGCCCTGTTAGTCCTCAGACCAGTTGGGTACTTTCTGTCTCTCACACAGAAAAAGTACCACTCCTTTTCTCCCATTTTCGCTTTCCCTTTTTCCGAACAACCGAAAACAAAAAAGTAAATCAAATCGAAACAAACAAAACCCAAAACAATTTGATCAAGACAGATTGTGTTACAGAAAGAAAACAATAGGGAAATTTTGTTTTAGGAAGCTTACGAGGCAATTGCCAAGGCTCTGACTTGTTCAAGTCCACCTCCCCCATGGCTTTACAAGAGAAGCTGGTATCAATAACCTTCTTGTGCAAGTAGTGGGAAATAAGCTCTTCATCGGTTGGATGGAAGCGAAACCCGGGTGGCAAATCGATCTGATCATCCTCCTCAACAATCCCAGCTGGAACGTTTTCCATTTCCTCCTTGTATGATACCCCCAATGATTCTTGTCTAAAACCCTTGATCCGAAAGCTTGGTTCCGATCGGAAAGCAGAGTATTTTCGCAATCCACCCTCAGTAGACTCCTCACAAACTCTCAAACTTCAATGGGTTCTCCTAACCAACAGCTTCAACTCCCCAAATCTTAAAACACCTTATAAAGAAAGCAGAACCAGATAAGACATGCAAAAAGTGCTTTTCCAAGGAACGAAAGAGAAATAAAGCTTAAGGAAAAGGGACAGGTAATTGGAAAAAGAGGAACGAAAGAAAAGAAGCCATAGAACAAATTGTATAAGCTGAAAGATGGATTCAGATGTTAAGACAAAGAAAAGCACTACGGGAAACAGAAGCCCCTAAATACTGGCGTGAGGAAGAAACGTGGAATGGAAGGCAACTTAGGTTGGTCGTTTTAGCTTCTCTTCAACTTTTTCTGTAATAATTCTACCCCATCATAAAAATTTGACCATCTAGACAAACAACCCATCCAAATACTATGCATGTAGCATTGATTTAATTACCACTAAATAATATACACCCTATCGCCTCTTCGACCGGTTTAAAATTTCAAACAAAGTATTTATCAAGCTCATTAATATGTGCCCTATCCTCTTTTTTGTACTTATTCATTTTCATATAAATGAATATCCTACTATTTCTATATAAAATAAAATAAAGTTTTTCCAAGACCATATGTTATGAAAATACTACCATACATGCTCCGGTGTATAACTGTATAATAAAGGGTCAAGATTTTCTTTTTTTATTTTGTCAAAAGTTCAGAGATCTAACAGTTAAAATTCTTGTGCATACCTTATTCCGTTCACCAATTTAGTATGTTTCAATTTTGTGAATACATTATTTTGATTCTATTATTAAAGTTTAATTGATAAATCAAAAAGTTGATGACACTTTTTTTTTTTACTACATCGATATTTTTATATAGGAGGAAGAGTTCGGCTAAGTCACATAATGAGCAGCCTAATTTGGTATCGAATTTGTCATCCACAAGATTCGAACCTAATACCTCTCACTTTTCAAGTGGAAGAACTTCAAATTCGGGAGAGGAGGGTCACAAAGATGCTTGATTTCCACTATGACATAAGCCCTCTTCAAATTGGATTATATATTTTAAGTTCAGCCAATTATATTCATTGTGCGAGAGTGGATAGGACTCTGATGTTACTGGATATTTGTTGGTATTTGCATTCCTGAATCATCAGCACGCGTGACAAAGAGAGTGACAAGAAATAAATAAAAATAGTTTGAAGTATTTAGAAGAAGATTGGAATATAATCTGTTTTTGTTGAAAATAAAATTAGGGCATTCACGAAGATAAATATATATTTTATGTAAATATAGTGATACCAGCTGTGGAAGACTACAGAAGTTTTGCTGTGTCCAGCTCTCAAAATTAGTTAAAGCGCGCTTTATTCACTCGAAAATGACCTTTATAACCCTCTTATTTCTAAAGCATATTCCCAAAAAACAGATGAAAATGAGATTGAAGCAGACACTGCATGGACTTTCATGCAACTCTCACTGAAAAGTGACAACAACTAGGTCGAATCAAAAATATCAAAATTAAAATTTGCGCCACGTAGTCCGCGAATGATTTTTATCTGTCAGTTTCTTGAGAGAAATTGCATTATTTGTAGGGGTGGGCACTTAGAATCGAAAACCGAAACACGAACCAAATCGAATCGCACCGAACGGTTTTATTTTGCGGTTTTGGAACAGTTTCGGTTTTGAAACTGAACCGCAACATAGAAAACGGTTTGGTTTCGGTTTTGACTTTTGAAAACCGCACCGAAACCGAACCGCACCGCAAATATTAATAAACATTTAATTAAATGTCCATATTAAATTTCATGTTTAAATTGGTTGTTTGTTAGAATCCATGCACTTAGTATGGACTCAACCACACTAGAATATTATCATTCATCATTTTCTTTCGTTCATTAACTTGAAGGACCTTTGTCATTTTATACCATCACACACACACACACATATATGTACAAGGGTGGACTGATCTTGTTATCAAGAGTCGAACATGGATCTAATGAAGTTCACTCATTTGAAGCATGATATCACATATTCTAGTATGAAAGTTTCGCTCACGTTTAATGAATTCAAAGTTATTCAACTTGTATTATGTTATACCTTGTACAGGACACCATTTTGTTTCACAAACATGTTTTAACATCACAACTGCATGCAACATGCTAATTGTTTATATAACAAATGTCTTTTTCCTATTGCTACTGGGAAATGCTTATTAATATGTTAAATTGCAAATTGTACATTTTTTTCTTAAAAATCAAACCGAAACCGTTTGAAACCGCACCGAACCGAACCAAACGGTTTAGCTTCATTTCGGTTTTGGCTTCAAAACCACACCGAACGGAACTGCAAAAAATTTCGGTTTCACTCAAAACCGCACTGAACCAACCCGTGCCCACCCTTAATTATTTGTGCTCTAAATCCTAATTTGTTTACCAACTAACTCTTTGTCTCGCGGTAGTAGTGTTCTTAGAGTTGGACGACATTCTAAATTCTTTTCGCCCTAATTTACGAGATTGTGTAAAAGGTGGTGTTATCCACACACTTATTTTTACTTCTCACACACTTCTTTCAGTTTTCAGTTGTTGAATAGAATGAATTGAAGAAGATTAATAGAAAAAATTAACAAAAGTATATGAGAGGTAAAAGTGAGTGTGTCAATAGCACCATCCTTGTGTAAAATATGATCAACGTTAATTCACAAACTTCGTAATGAGCTAAAATTATGTTCTCTCTAAGCACCCTTATATATTGACCACAATAATTAATCAAAGTTTCAACTTGTTGCAATTAAGGGTGATACATGTAAAAGCTGAAGTGATTAAAGCCATTAGTGGTTAGTGGTTAGGTGAAAGAAAGTTATGAATGAATTTATTAATATATCTAAGCTAATTTGTCCTCTCTTTTAAGAAGATTAGTGCAATTTCAACTCTATGAACCTATAACGTTTGTTGTTTTTTCCTTTATGGTTAAATCAAATGAAAGTTTCAAATGCTGCTTTTTGAATTCTGATTTGACTTTATTTCATAAAAATCTTGAATAATGCTTAATTTGTACAAGTGATATGCAATGTATATTAATTTAATACGATCACATATTTCATAGTAATCACTAAATACTTGCAAAAAGTCTACAATTTCGAACAAATTCTCCATTTTGACATAATTTAGAGGCAATTCAGTATTTCGCATTGACTTATTTGTTTCTTAACTATTAATCACCATATTTTAAGTTATGACTGGGTCAAATATTGTGGTCATTCTAAGGGTGAAATCAAATCAGCTAAAATCTCTTGATAAATATTTTGTCATGTTGTCTACCCAAAACGAATCGGTTATTAATGGAGTTTGACTCTGGTGCGCACGTGTATTTCTGTAGTTCTTTGATCACTCATGTTATTGGGCGACTCTAAATTAACTCCCATTCTTTGTCAATTTAAAACTTAATCAACTTAAAAGGCTTAACTTGTTGCAGTTAAAATATAAGACATGTATAATTGTGTAAATCCTAGTAGATTGAGTCTATGAGTTTTACTTGTCTTACTTGTAAGACAAGTACGCCCATTATGTTTGCTGTAAATAAAGGCATAAAGTAAGAAGAAATAAGACGCAAAAAAATTTCTTACACTCTCTTTTCTCTTTCTCTCTCTCTTTGCCATCGCACCTATCCCTTTCCTTAAGTTAATGGAGCTTGACTCTGGTGCGCACCTGGATTTCTGTAATTCTTTGATCATTCATGTTGGGGACTTTAAGTTAACTAGCATTCTTTGTCAATTTAAAAGTTAATCAACTTAAGCCACTTAGTACTACGATCTAGTAATATTCATCTTCATTTGTAAGTGAGAGGTCTTAGGTTCGATTCTCGTCAAAGGCGAATTTGAACCACATTATTGCTAGGTTATTGTGAGGCTTAGCCACGCCCCAACTCCCTTAGTGTAGAGATTATCGTTTGTTTGAAAGAAAAAAAATTAATCAACTCAAAAGGCATAAATTGTTGTTTATTTAGAATTATAACACATGTGTAATTTGGTAAATCCTAGTAGATGATTCCTCTGTAATCTAGAAGATCTAGGCTTTCTTACTTGTGGGCAAGTAAGCTCGTTATATTTATTATAAATAAAGGCACAAAGTATGAGAAATATGACACAACCTGTCTTTTCTCTCTCCGCACCCTTCTCTCTCATCCAATTAAATTTAGGCCTACAACATAAATATTTTTGTTTTACTTCTAAAGTTGGCTAATGAGATGGATCCAACGGACTTTAGATTATATAATTTGAAAATTATATGTTATTAACACTTCAAAATAGTTAGCTTGCGGTTTTTTCTAACGAACAAAATAAGTGAGAAATGACGGAAATATCACTACGTTGAGGTTCAAGAACATTTCCCATTATTGGATCATTATTTTTTAAGTAAGTCTCGGAATTATTATTTTTCCCATAGGTTTTAGTATTAATATTTTCTCTTCACAAAAAAATAAAAATAAAAATCTCCATGTGCGTATGGAATGCGCATGCACGCCCTGACTTCCCCCTTTTGCACAATTATAGCAAGACTGACCTCCTTTTAAGGAAACAATTGCAAACTTCCAACCACGACTGGACATGTATGCCCTTAGCTTGTCTGAGGAATTTCAATCATGTAGGTCACCTCAAAAAATGGACCAATCAACCGTGTCCACGTCATGCCACGTATGTGACAAGAATGAAATAGACAGACACTGCCGTACCCGATCACAAGCCAACCACGAATTAGGTATATTCCCAAATGTCTAACCCTCTCTTTCGAAATTATTGCCCTAATTACGACCAGGAAAGAACAGCAATAATGAAACTGGTTCGTCTCAATCAATCAGCTAGGGTTTGACTGTTTACGTGGGTCCTGTTTCCTTTGTTGCAGCATGCGGTAGTGATAGAAACATACATATGGCAAGGACTGGTTGGTCAAGAAGGCAGGATGACCATAAGAAATAATGAGTTAGGCAAATGTCAGATGAAGGTCTCCATTAATATTATGAGCCGTTTTATTTTGAAGCTGTGGATGATCGACATTCATGGTTCGATCTGCCTAACTTGGGATGTGATTGCAGTGATCGACACTTGTATATATATGCTTTTTTTATATTGAAAATAACGGATACTTTGGATGCAATCCCTAATCCTTAACATTCTTTGACTAAAACCTTAATGGTATTCAAAGTTTGATCAAAGTCTATTGATTTTGTACACTTCATTATATTACAATTAATATTTATATTTTTATAGTTTTGACATTAATTGTTTGATA